TTAAGGCAATGAAGTTGCACATGTCAGCATGCTGACAACACTCCAGATTTTGCTCTATGGTTTCAAACCAGCACTGTGTAATTGGTCTAATTTACTGGCTGTTCCTTCTACAGTGAAGTGCATGGCAAAACTAGCACTGTGTTGAATGGATACTGGATTGAACCCCTTAGTCAATTTTTCCACACACCCCGCACGCCACCAGTAGATCTGTGCCATGTATGTCTTAAAACACAGCATGCACCCTGTTATTCCTCTAGATATCCCTTTGACACACATCCCTGTTTCTTAGGCTTGGAATATGAAAAGCACAGATTAAGAAGATAGTCCCTTTTGGATGTAGGGACTTCTCTAGCCAGAAAAAGGAAAGAGACATCTGCTGCACTCGGATACCTGGGTAAGTTCCAATTAAGAAAGATAAATAAAAACAGAGAAGGACTAACATTCCTTTAAAAATATTGGGATTTTCCTAGTTTGGTGATGATTTAATAGAACTTTTCCATCTCTAATTTCTGGGATACTATGGTGGGAACAAAAGGATCCACCGGGAAATCTATGTATCCAGCAAGATCATCTACATTCCTGAAGAAAAGGGGTCCTTCAGGAAGGGGTTACAGGGCACTCGTACTATTCTGTGAATATAAACCCCATCAAAATAGAGTAGCATAGCAAAATTCTAGAGGATGGCCCCATATTTAGCACTGTAAAGGTAATAACAGATAGATGCTCAACACTTCTGTTTTTTGACAAGAAATTTTTCCCCATAGGACCAAATCTCTGTTCTAGTGGCAAGCTTTACTGGGCATAGCAGAACCTCCATAACTTCCAGGATTTAGGGCAATATGCCCCCAGGGGCTGCATGCTGAGAAGTACGGTAACTTCCTACATAACCAAATCCCAGTGTGGACACAGTTATACCAGAAAAACGATGCCCGATACCAGGATGGCTTATTTCACTTCCTAACTGGAATAAACTATACTGGTAGAAGCACTTTTCTACTGGTGTAACTGCACCCACACTGGGGTGCAGGAGTTCCTGCTTTAACTATACTGGTATAACTGAAGTGGCAAATCTTTCTAGTGTAGACAAGCCCAAGATACAGGAAATGTCAGAGAAATGCCAAAGTACAGCAAAGCAAGTTACTATGCAACACTGCGAAATCCGAGCTGCTCTCCGTTGCACTGAATGGCTGTCGACAGAAGTCCACAGCCTTTTGTGGCTAACTATGAGCCTATCAGTGGATGTGTAAGCCATCAGGGGCTAGCTGTATAACCTATGAGAAGGGGTGGGGCTCATCTTATTTCTATAGGCCGTGGCCCTTTCCTCCAAATTGTCTTGTCCTAGCAGAACAGGCCCCTCTCATCTGGGACAAAGATGAATTTCCATTATGTATGAATGAAACTGACCCTGCTTGGGCTGCCAGCGAGCTTTGGACCTGAGACCTCAGCACTTAAAGAATTTGGACTAAAGAAGTTTCTTAGGTGGAAGCAGAGCATACCTATAAACGTCTTATGCAGGCCAGCCACCAGAGGGAAGACAGATTCTCCTAGCATGGGTTACCTAGCAGCAGAGGGCCCATGACACACTAGAAGGGGAATAAGGCTCTGAATTTGTCAGTTTTCACAAAGCCATCCAGTATGCCATTTACTACACCGGACAGCTGCATCAACTCTGGGTTAACAACTTCGGCACAGTGTAGCTTACAACTCTGCTACGCAAACATTCTGCCTGAGATTCCACAATGATGCCTATGGAACTAGTACATCCAATTCCCATTAGTTTTAATGGGAACTGGCCTTCTAAAAGCCTTAGAGGGTATTGGAAATTCCAGCCTCTATCTCATCATCAAGGGAGCAATGGCTTACAAATAGGAAATTATACTTACATAGATAGTATGTCCTGGTGAGCCAGGAATACTGGAACCTGGTCTGGAATAAATACTTTCAGATGATGTCCTTGTAGGCTGTAAAACAAATGTTCACTTGTAAGTGATCTGTCCACAGGTGTAACACTAAGAATTTAGATTATTATTAAAAGGCAGAAAGATTCATTTGTCTTCAAATGAATTAAAAAGTTGAATAATATAAATGCAAACTCCAGCATTCCAGGATATTTCACAACCTTGTGATACAGGCATGGTTTCTCTTTTTTGGGGGCGGGGGGTCACGCGGGGGGAGGGTTGTGTGTGGGAAGAGGGAGTTTCTTAGTTTTAAGGCACACTGTGGGAAAAAAAAGATTGACAACAACAACAAACAAATAAGAGCATCTCACAGAGGCATTGTAGGAGCACTCCAGGATATTCTTGTCAATGTCCCTATTGGAAAGCATTATTTGACAAATGGCAAAACCTATCTCAGTTCCACTGGTGGGGGGCAAGATTCCAGTCCTGCAGTATGCAAGTGGGCTGCACGGCAGCTTACCCACCTGCTATCACTCACTGTATTGGGGCCTTAGTCACTGGAACTACATCAACGTAAATGAGTGCAGAATTGGGCCCAACACCGGACTGTAGAGGGACAGAAAACTCTCTCCCTTGGAATAGTTCACAATCCACACAACACAATTTAGGTGCAATAGTTGCAGGTAAAATTCAGTCTGAAATTCCACTCTACAATGCCTCTGATGTTTAGTGCCACTGCTTGCAACTTGAATCCTGTGCAGTTACTTACACCAGTACAAAGTGAGTGCAACTATAAACTGAATGCAGCTCCTGGCACTTCATCAATATCCAAGTGACATTACCTCCATGTAGGGCAGTGTGGATAAAGAAATTAATTCAGTATCATCAGGTATCTGCGTTCAAACCTCCATAAATCAGAAACCCATTTATTGAGCCCAAAATCTCCCTGGTCTCCTTTTCGATGAGCCTGCTCTAAAAAAAGCTATCAATGCTCTTCAATGTATGATAATTCCTCCTAAGTCTACGAAGCAGTATGCACATTGTTAAAGGTGTTAGAGTAAATTGTCCTGAACTAAAAATTAACATACCAGGAGCCTGATGGAAATTCTCCCACTGAAATGAGTGCGTTCTAGATGAGGCCCAAGATTTCTCTTTGAAGAAATCAAAGCCCATATTGCCTCCTCATGAAAAATCAAAAATCTACAACAATATTCTCAAACCAGATGCAAAGTAAAGGAGCTCCCTAAAGCATGAAGCAACTTGCTGGCCGGTAGGTGATTCTGGATGAGTGCAGTGGGATATTTTACTCTAATGCCGCTAAACAATTAAACTCTTGATAAGCTTGTTCTTGTCACTTGTTGGTTGTGACACAGAAGCAAAGGAGCAGTGATTGCCCACTGGAGAGAGAAACGAAACCCGCTCACAGATCTCAGACAGGAAATATCTGCCCAGTGGGGCTCTCTTATCTCTCAGCAGATATTTCCTGAAAGGGGCTTTCAGCTAAGTAGCAGCCACTTTCCCTGGGTCCTTTTAGCTTTTACTTTATAGTGAGCAAACTAATGGGGCACCATTAAAAAACAGGCAGAATAGAGTATTCCTCAGCTCACACCTGATTTGAGATGTGTTTTAGGAATCCCAGCAAAGAATCTCATGCATTTGGGGACACTGGGGGAATCAAGTACTTGGAACAGGTACCAAGAAAATTAAGGAGTTCGATCAAATGCAGCAGTCTACAATGGAGAGCAGATGAGGACACTGAGGGATACCTCCCTCTCTCTCTCTCTCCTCCCCCCCAGCAAATCTGAGCATATTTTTTTCAGCTGGACCATGGGCCCTCTCAATAGCTACAAAATTCCATATTGCAGGAAGATGTCCCAGCTGCCCTTCTGCTCCTCCCATAACGTAACCAAGAGAAAAATTATTTACATTAGCCAAAAAAACCCAAAACTACAAACCCCCAAAACACCAAGAATTAAATGGGAAAATCAGGCTGTTAATGAGAAACATTTTATTCCCTTTAAAATTCTGACATTTCATACTGCTGCTTGAGTGGAGTCATATGGAGCAAGTTGTTGCAGTTGCCATGGTAAGCGATTGTTATTATTACAAATCACAAGGAACAAGGTTAAATAGCCGAGGTGCAATTCTGGGCATCTTCCTCATTACTCACCTTCTGGCTTTGACCAAAGATTTGTCTTTTTGATTTATTTTTTCTAATAAGTACAAACAGATTGTGAGTTTCAGAGAGAAACTACAGCCTTCTCTTTTCCTCTTTCTATCCCCATACATTCTTTGGAATGTAACAGACAGACAGAAGTTTGTACATCAAGGGAAAGGGGCTTTCATAATTACTTTAGGGAATCAGAAGTTGCCCAGAAACAGCCACTTAGACCTAGTGTTATTCTCTTGCAATGTTTCTAAGTCCCTGTTTGGTCCCTAAAAATACATTCTGTGATCAGCTAATTCACCTTATACTAATTGGCCCGTCCTATTGAGCAACTTGTTCCATGGTATTTTTTCATACCAAGTGTAGTTAGTGCAGCCTGCTTTCCAAGTTTAGGCCCCAGTCCTGCAAACATGTACACAGGTGCTTAACTTTAAGCACAGGAGTTATTGCACTGGAGTCAATGGCAGAACTAAGTGCCGAAAGTTAATCATGCACATAAACACTGGCAGGATTAGGGACCTAGTCTCCTTTTCCTCAGTTCTCCCTTTCTTCTGCTCTCGGATCCAATCATGCTTATTAGCTTCCCATCGATTTGGCTGTTAGTAAAATGCCTGTTTGCCGGATCTGCCATTCCTTATACCCAATATTCCTGGTCTCCTTCTGAGTGCACCAATTTCACATTCTCCTGCAAAGCTCTGTGAAGACCCTTTCTCATTAATTACTATTATTCGTATCGTGCTAGCACCTAGGGACCTCATTCACAGACAAGGACCCTATTGTACCAGGCGCTGTACAAATACAGAACACAAAGGCAATCCTGCCCGACGAACTTAGTCAAAGTATTTCTGGAAACCCAGTGATCAGCATTGTAGGGGTTTTTTCAGTGGTCCCCATCCTATGTCTTGCTTAGTTTTACAACTGTCCACTTCAGAAACAGATGTTTTCCCATTGTTTTAAGTACCCCCTACATCCCTATTTAGCCACACTGGCCTCTCTTGCCCTTTTTCCCTGTTTACACAGGATGAATTTCAACCAGTCTCTTCAACTGTTTCCTAAAGATTTCCTACTCTGCTATCGGACATTTCCCACCTCCATTCCGAGTGGTGACAAGCAACGAACCATTCAGTACTTCTATTAAACTCCTCTTCCTGCTATTTTCAGTGTGCGCTCTTTACCCTCCTCCTTTTTTAAGAGGGTAAGCGTCATCTCCATCTCCTCTCTCTCCTCCTCCTCCTCACCCCTCCCCTCCCAAATAACATCCGAGACCTTTTTGCTGGATACAGGAAATCTAAGAATGCATAGTAAGAACAAACAAATTCATGCATATCATCAATGGAGCTAAATGATGGATTCAAATCTCAAGGAAAGCATCACTTCTTCATATTTTCCTCCTCTTCAGCAATCTCTTATTTTTATTTATTTTTCCTCTCTTCATGCATTTGTCTTCAATGCAAAAGGTCATTCATGCTATTTTTATGGCGATTCTGTTGGGGCCATTGTGCATGTCGGTTCTGGATTATCGTATCTCACACACATATATATGCCCCAATTTGTTATTTAATATTAGTTCATACAACTTAGGCTGGCTCATCTTGATTTACTTCAGTTTTTAGATCATCATGCACGGCACATTATTTAATCGGATAAGTTATTTAAAAGAACTAAAACACAAGGGCCATCCACATCACCCAAATGCCGCAATGTGATGGCTGTGCTTTTCTACGCTACAGATGTTCAGCGTCATGCTCTATAGAAAGATATGGAGGCAAGCAAGCCAGATCAGAAGTGATCCCATGAACATCTGGCTGACTGGATGCACTACTATGTTATAAAAGACACTACCAGTGTTGTTTACAGTACCTGCCTTAGTTTTTTGATTGAGTTCATTATGCAAGGCGGTGAGAACAGCTGCAGAAGAAGGGATAATGTTTCATTCTACACACAGTCACTTAACAATAACATTGGTCATACAGTTAAAACAAAAGATCTTTAGCTACAGAGGCTAGCTGAATGTGATAAAGATGTACATATAAAAGCTAATTAGAAATTAGCTTTTTCTGCAATCACTCCTACTTGCTAAACAGGATTTTGTTATAGAAGTAACCTATGGTTCCCCTAGTACAACATAGATTACTCTGATCCTTTGTCTCACTGACTGTAAGGTTCTTCAAAAGAGACAAGTTACTTAGGGCACTGGAAAAACTCAAACTGATGTCAGTGGTCTTTGGATCAGGCTCTTATTGCATCATGATTATTATAAATGGTGGTGTATGTGACCCACCAAGAAACAAAATCCAAAAGCATTCGTTATGCATGTCCATTATTTTGCCAATTAATCATGGCTTCAAGTTTCTCTTTCCAGGAGCATTCATGCGGAGACTAATTATTTCCTCTCCTAAAAATCTACAATGCATATTCATTGGCTAATTTAGCAGTCATAAAAGACCAGGTATGGTTTAGTTTTAAAAAACACGCACATACACACGTGCTCAGAAATAGGAGCAACTTCTTTCCATCCTAAAAGCAAAGCGCAGTGAAGCAAAATTGGTCTTCAGGACAAGTCATTCCGTACTAGTCGTTGCCAAACTTAATCTATGCCACAAAACTACTCATGCAAATGAAGGCTTCCTCCAACACCTGTATTAAGTTTGCACCATGAAAATTATGGGTGAAATCTGGCTCCCAAACTCCCATTGACTTCAAGGAGGCAGGATTTCACACAATATTCTTAGATTCTACTATCAGGGTTTGATCTTCTTACAGAATGCTAACATACACAATTTTCTTAAGAGATTGTAAATGTTGTTTTTAAAGACTACTGCATGTATGTAATTTATGACAAACTTCCCCTCCATAAGCCAGTTTATTCTTGCATGTTGCCGGGGTACCTTCATACATTTTGTGATCAGTTAACAGCTTTCTATTTAGGTCTCAAGCCTAGGAATATATGCTTGGATGAAAGACTTGTTTCTATAAGGCATCCACTGTAAATATCGATTTTAGTTTTCTATAACACTCATTACTGTGGTAGATAAGTGATTATATGAAATCACTGCATCGATTTGACCTGTAGAATGATTGACATGAGGTTCTGTTTGCATCAGAAGCACCGAGGAGCAGTACTTAGGAATAGAACTAATATCATGCTTTTTTGGCTCACCATGATCCCTGCACACCTTATGCACATAAGCAAGTTCCTTTGGCTTCAACGGGACTACTCATGTGAGTGGGAGCTGTAGGATCAGATTGAGGATGCATGTTTCCAGAAGTTGTCAGAGTAGTAAGACGTCACTTGCATTAACCCTAGAACTGTTACAGACCAAAACGGGAACTCATTGGTTGGCAAGTTCTCTGGAGGCTCAATTCAGCTGAACTCTAGGATGACATTTCATTCAGACACAAGCTAGATGGTTGTAATATTTATCCACGTCTGCCTCTGGCTAAGAGAATGTCACCTATTTCTCATGGGTGACTTATTCTTGGAAGACCCACAGATTGGTTTGCCTCCAACCACTGAGTCCAAAATCATATACCTGTGGATTTTCTTGAGCATTGATCTTGCTAAAGCCCTGATTTCCTCCCAGCACAGATGCATCCCATTGTGGTGAAGTATGTTTGATTTAATCAGTCACACACTGTAACAAGACTGAACTAACTACTGTTTGAGAAAACGAGAGGTTGTATTTACAGAACGAGCTACAGGAATTGGCTCACTGTGCGCAAAAGGGAGGTACAGGCAGTAGGGATGAGAAAACTAGTTCTGAAAATATTAAAAACTGCAGCTTCCCTGGAGCCTCTGGCCATTGCTAGAATCAAACCCAAACTAGACTGTCTCAAGGTTCTGAAATATTCCACTTACTCCACACATTTTTGCTGTGTGTGTGTCTCTCTACATGTCTAGGTCTCTGCTGGTACTAGGACTGCAAGACCTAAAATACTAAAAGTATCTTCCTTCAAGCCCAGCTCCCGTGAATACTGGAGGTCTCACCAGAATGCCGTTTCTCCAAGAGATTTCCTGCCCTGTTTTGAAGACTTGAGAGCTTTGGATAGGCTTTGAATAAAAATCTAAACTTGCATGTTACTTATCAGCTCTGTGTTCTTGGGGAACCAGGGCGTAGTACCCAGCCTGTCTGACTCACGAAAGACCTTCCCCCCTGCAGCCTCTGCTTGAGCCAAAGCCGATCAGAAGGAAGACTTACAAAAAGCAATGAAAAGACGGTGGGAGACACACCTAAAGCCCTCCGGACAAGGGTGACAGGATTAAGGAAACTCCTCTAGCCTCATTTGCATCGGAGATCGGATCGGGAAGCATCTCAATTAGCATACAGAATGGAGAACAGAGATTCCAAGGCAAGAACTGCACTGAACTCTGGGACCAGAAAAGCAGGGAAGCACTGCATGATGGGGGATCTCTGCTCCAAATATTAGTGAACCCACGCCTGCACGCACCCAGCTCAATAGTTATCAGACCAATTCTAGTAATAAATCCTTTACTGGAATCCAAAATACTGAAGCTGCCTAACTGTATTGTGAGCTCCCTCAAAGGCACACCGCCCATAGTTCCTATTGTCTAGCCTGAACAAAACAACTTTGGTATACTCCCTTGAGCCATCAGTATACCCATAAACAAATCTAGTATTCTCCCTTGAACCATTGTTGTTTCCCTACAAAACCCGCTACCCATACTTAAGTATGTGTTCTAATGCCTGGATCCAAAATCTGCATCAGTTCCACTGGGACTTCATCTTCTCCTGACTGATCGTGCTGGGGGCTCTGCCTGTCTCCAGCACTCCGGACCCTCAGCTACCACCACCACCGGGGAACCCCGATCAATTCAAGCTTCACGGAGTGCTGAGAACCCAACTCTCTCTCTCTCTCTAGGTATAGCCTTCTGACCCTGACTTGTGTGATCAGTTATAGTTTTCTAAACCTGACTTTTATAATCAAATTTAAGTTAGATTTAATATTATAACTGTTTTGTTTGTTTGGCTCCCCTGGTATGGTTATTACCTGGCAATAAATAATGTTCATGGTTAAGCTGGTTGCTTCTCTCTCCTCCCGCTCCCTAGTGTTTTTTGGCTTCCCCATTCACTCTGCAGCAACACTCCTCGTACCTAAACTAAAGATCCCTGCAGTGCCCAAAAATCCTGTGGTGTTTGCTCATCAAGTGGGCTACTACCAGAACAATTGTAATGTGAAAGTGGGGATAGGGACGTGCTGAACCTGAGGCATATGAGGGTGACAGCTTGGAAGTGCTGCTCGACCCAACCTACTGAGTCCAGGAACATATAAGGGGTCAGCTTGAGAGTGCTGATTAATCTGGTCCTCTCAGATGCGCTCGGTTAATATGTGTGTGTGTTCATCTGATTCTGGGGGCTGGAAGAACCCAGCCCTGGGGAACCTAGGTCCTGCAGGATAGCTCCATTGGGAGGGAACTTGCAGTAAGGAGAAGTAGAACTCTGTATGAGAACGCCAGTGGCACAGCAGTACATTGATAGAATTACAGACACCCCCGCCCCTCGAAGAGTAACCCTAATAAATGAGCGTACCCCAAAGTAATGGGCAAATCTAGTAACTGTGTGGTTATCTGGACCAAGCACATGACCTAACCTTTTCAGACACATACATCATTAATGCTGTGTTCCTTTTAACAGGCAGCTAATGGTGTGATTCTTAATGGCCAAACTATGCACTCCACTCCTGAAGTCAGACAAGATAATGGTGGATGGCAAGATTTTTATTCCTTTACCTTGTGGAAATTTGACTTTTCTGAGGAAGAAGTAGAGAATAAGATCTATACAAAAGTAGTATAATGATGGTTGCAGTGTATCTGGCACATGGAGAGACCACGGAGCCAAATTCTGCCTGTATCACACCCTGGGCAATCAGAGTATAAATCAGGACAGATCTTGACTTTGATTAGGTGGATGCCTGCACAAGTCAGAGAGTATTTGATCCAAAATTACCTACATCCCATGGATTCTACATTGTGAGGAGACAGTTTCTCTATTTTTGGCTGTGAGCACTCACCTATTTCCTGTCCTATTTTTCTAATACCTTGGATAACATTCATTTTTTTATCCTGGGACTTTTGGATAAAGTTGGGTTTCAATACCACTGATCTGAAATCTCATCATTGAATGCACACAAAACAAAGTGTACAGCCATTCAAAAGTCTTGACCACAGTCTAACAGACTAATGCAATCGTTCTGTAGATTACTAACTAGAACCTTTAATATCTGACTGCATCAATTCTAATTCTCCAGAAACATTTCCTCATCCAAAACCAGTGATAGAGCATCTTTATAGTTGTTAGCAAGCATGCTAAGTTGTTGGATTGCTCTGTTAACTAACATGCAGGAAGGTCCACATTTAGGAGTGGTTCAGGACTTGCATTTCCCAGAATTAAATCAGGAACAGAGCGTCACAGAGGAAACTGGGATAGGCTCGAGCCAACTCTTACTGAAAAATGGGCCTCTTTCCATTGACTTGAATGGGAATCAGCCCTAGAAAACTATGCTGCAGGAAAATATCAAACACTCTGTACCTGCTGAACTCAGAGAAGTCTGGAGGAAGAAAAGCAGCCAGAATGAAGAGGTAAGAGAAGACTTCATAACTCCAACTTGGATAAGCCACAGGTCAAGTCACTGCCTACATGGTGGCAAGAGCTAATGGGCAGCACATGAACCAGCCCATGCTCAGAAACCACTCAAAAATAGAAACTTTACAAAACAATTATTAACCAGTTTAGCTCAGTTAAAATAGTCAGTTGGCGCTGGACAACATTTTTCCAGAATTGGATATTTCAATGAAATTTTTTCATAAAAAAAATCTTAAACACTATTTGTGAAAATTTCCCCAACCAGCTAGTTTTCATATGATCAGATCTTTAGTGTGGTGTTTGCATTTGTTATTTTCTATTCCAGAACAACCACTTTCTATAACCCACTGAATAATGACACCAAAGTGAAAGAGCAAAAAGCTATTTTTGTGTGCTTAAAAAACAAACAGAACCTTCATATTAAACAAACAAATGAAGCAGAAGTAGGAAATAGCAAACAAGATGCATTTCATAACGCAAAAGACAAAGTTTGTGCTTCAAGGGGTGAGTGAAGGCAAAGAAAGCTGAGTGAGATAAGCAGCATAGGCATATGACACTAGTGCAGAATAAGGAAATCTTCTCAAGAAAGAAGGCTATTAACAACGGTATGAAAACACAATAGCAAACCTCTGTAGAGCGTGGTCTGCGCAGAACCAGACTCTTTGGATAAAAGAAATCAGATGAGGAATGCTGCCATGAAATATAAGAGGAAAAAAAAGTGAAAAAAGCAATGTTTCTCCTGGATACAGAACAGCACATAAACATCGAGAGTTCAAGGTCTTTTGCAACACAGTTACTAATACCCCCTTTCACTAAGTTGGACAATAAACTGTGTGCAATGTCACATACGGTTAGCTGCGGAATCACCAACTGGCAGACAATTGTAAAAAAAAAAAATTGCTCGGCACTTATGTAGAGTTGCTTTATTTCCTGCTTGTTTTGGCTTCATAACACGCCACACAAAAATCAAATGGGGAAAAATGTCTTAAGCAACCCTTGTTTTTATGAACTCCACCTAAGACAGGGGTGGGCAAACTTTTTGGCCCGAGGGCCACATCTGGGTGGGGAAAGTGTATGCAGGGCCATGAATGTAGGGCTGAGGCAGGGGGTTGGGGTGCAGGATGTGGGAGGGGGTTGCAGTGTACAGGAAGGGGCTCAGGGCAAGGGATTGGGGTGAAGGACGGGTGCGGGGTGCAGGAGAGGGCTCAGGGCAGGGGTTTGGGGTTGTGGGGTCCAGAAGGGGCTTGGGGTGCAGGCTCTGGCCCGGCATTGCTTACCTCGAGTGGCTCCGGGGTGGCAGCGGCACGCAGCGGGGCTAAGGCAGGCTCCCTGCGTGCCCTGGCCCCACGCCACTCCTCGAAGCGACCAGCATGTCCAGCAGTGGCTCCAGGGAGTGGGGTGTGGCAGGCGGCTCCGTGCGCACTGCCCTTGCCTGTGGATATCACCCCCAAGTTCCCATTGGCTGCGGTTCCCTGTTGCCGGCCAATGAGAGCTGTAGGGGGCGGTGCCTGCAGGTGAGGGCAGCGCACGGAACCCTCTGTACCCCCTCCCTCAGGGGCTGCAGGGACATGGTGCCGGCCGCTTCCGGGAGCGGGGCGGGGGCTAGGGAGCTTACCTTATCCCCGCTGCGCCATGGGGCTGGCAATCCTGCGGGCCGGATTGAAAGCCCTCACGGGCTGGATCTGGCCCGCGAGCCGTAGTTTGCTCTCCCCAACCTAAGAGTTAGGCCTTGGCTACACTGGCGCTGTACAGCGCTGCAACTTGCTGCGCTCAGGGGTGTGAGAACGCCCCCACAGCGCAGCGAGTGCAGCGCTGTAAATCGCCAGTGTAATCAGAGCCTGCAGCACTGCACGCTCGCTCGCAGCGCTGCAAGCTATTCCCCTCGGAGAGGCGTAGTACTTACAGCGCTGTGAGAGAGCTCTTGCAGCGCTGGCGGCGCGACTGCACTCGCGCTTCACAGCACTGCCGCGGCAGCGCTGGAAAGTCCTGAGTGTAGCCAAGGCCTTAGCTAGTGAGAGCACTGACTAACTTGTATTCTAGTTCAGCCACTGAGATAAAACAGAGCTTGCCGAGGACTTCTGAAGCCGCTTCAACAATAAGTTTGGTTGGTTTCAAAGGGAAAGGAAATCCAGCAGTGCAGAGTCCACATCACCAGAAAATCTGGTCCTGCCCAATACTATGAGGTCACAAGCACTCTCATCTGCCATTTCAAGGCAGTGTTCTTACATTATACAGGTGTGAATGTCTCTGTTAATTTAACTGATTTCAATTAAGATTATCTGAGTTAAAAGTACTTGCTGGCTTGGATGTATAAAGAAAAAGTAAAGATATTTGGAAGGAACATCTGCAGTTTCATGGGGACTGGAAATAAGCCAGAAGGTTTAAAAGGTCAGCTTGGAGCATATTTGCAATGGTAGTGATGTAGTCAGGAGTACTTTGAAACAATTAAAAGTCTGTTGGGTCACTGACAAGGGAACATATTGTATACCAGCCACACGCCAATAAATATAAGCAGTCGGTCTCCCAATCACTGCCAGAACACACTGTTACACCCATACAGCCGAATGAGCAACGAGCCCTAAATCAGCCTAAACGCCTGACAATCTACAGTGGCTTCCACCCAGCAGTTCACCAGCAGCAAAACCCACTGATCCTTAATCAGGGAATGGCTGACGGTTTTAGAGCACACTTCACATAAGGGCATGTCTCCACCTTCTAATTTTAGAGGAAGAGGCATCAAAATACCCAGACTGTCTGTTACCAGGGCAACAATCACTTCCTTATATTTCTCCTGAAAGAACGGACTCTTCTACGAATGTCACAGCGTTGGATAATTGGTATCGGCTGATGCTGTGATATGCTGGTCATGGACAGAAGTACTTGGACAAATGACATAATTCAGTGTGGTGAAAGCCAACATGCTTACTGACTTCCAAGATTTCCCAAGCTGGACCGGCCCCTCTCTTCCTATGGAGAGGGAAAGGGTGATGATATTTCACCACAAATTTTGAGAAAAAAAATTCAAAATCTTTGAAAATTTTTGAGCACCTCTACTATTTAATAATTATACTCTCTGTAATTGTAAAGTAATTTCTATAGACATTTGCAGCCAAATAGCATGAATCTGCAATGATCAATCCAGACAGTTAACTGTGTCACCCATACACTACAGTGTGGGCCTGATTCTCCTCTGATACCTGTGTATTTCTACTGATTTAGATTTATACCTGATTTACAGAAATCAGAGCAGAATCAGCTCCCAATAATAATCATCCCTAGCTTTTAGATAGCACTTTTCATCAGTAGATCGCAAAGTGCTGTTCAAAGGAGGTCAGTAGCATTATCCCTATTTTACAGACGGGGAAACTGAGGCACAGAGCAGTGACATGACTTTCCCAAGGTCACCCAGTAGGCCACTGACAGAGACAGGAATAAAACAGAAGTACATTCCAGTTCAATGCTCCATCCACTAGGCCACACTATAGTATCATGTATAGTTCATGTGGCCAGATATATAAGTGTATGTCTACACTGCATACTGAGCCTGGGTTGGGACCCGGGCTTGTGGACTTGGCGTTCCCAACCCTGTGCCTGAGTGTCCACACTGCATTGTAAACCTGAGTCTGTAATTGCTGGACCTGGGTCTCACAGCCATGCTAACATGGACATACTACACTACACAGACCTTCTGATTGGCGTCTGTGGCTTGACCTGCGTCCACACTGCAAAAGGTCAGGGCTTGGACCTGGACTCAGGCTCGGACCCACCCCCTAGAAGGGTCCTAGGACACAAGTCCTGAGGGCTTGGCTAACCCAAGACAGACTGATTTGTATGTGGACGGAAGTGGGGTTTGGTCTGAAACCTGAGTGGGAGCCCGGTCTGAGTGTGCAGTGCAGACATACCCCAAGAGTATGTCTATATGGCAAAAACACCCAACAGCAGCCAGTCTCAGAGCCCAGGTCTATAGACTATGGCTTGCGGGGCTTGCACTCCAATGCTAAAAATAGTCGTGCTGACATTTGGGCTCACACTGGAGCTCGGGCTCTGAAATCCACCTCCCTCCGCAGGCTTCAGACCCCCAGCTCCTGCCGAGCTGCAACAGATCCATGGCTATTTTTAGCACCATCGCACGAGTCTGAGTCTGTAGACTCAAGCTCTGAGACTTGCTGCCACTGGGTTCTTTTTGCCGTGCAGACATACCCTAAAGTGTTCACGGCAGTATATAATGCCTGCATCTGTAACTTTCACTCTATGCATCTGAAGAAGTGAGGTTTTTACCCACGAAAGCTTATGCCCAAATAAATCTGTTAGTCTTTAAGGTGCCACCGGACTCCTTGTTGTTTTCGATGAAAAATAACCCAGTTTTGAAGTGCAAAAGTCTTTTCTGAGAAAGTGTCTATTCAGAACAACTTGCAAGTGCTGGATCGGGCTGCATCTGTTAAAGCTCTGCTTTGCATTGCTTCCCAACGTTTTCCTGAAGGTCTGAATCTGCTGCTGGACTGTTGTCCAGTTTACACTGTTCCCCACAAATATAACACCATGTTAGCTACATTCACAGTAAACACGCTAAGGAGAATGTTGTCCAGTGTGGCGTGCCAGCATCATGTTTCATAAGAAGAGAACTACTACGAACTGAGCACACCATGAACACAGCACGATGTGCAACATACATTCACCGAAGTGCCTCTTCGCCCATTTTTCATCTGCAGCCTCTGAAATGTGAGCCCAGAAACATTCACCGGGCTCACAGGTGCGCACTCTCTCATTTCTGCGTAGGAGCAGGCGCGTTCAAACACAAATGAGGTAACCGACTGCATGGTGATCTAACCCATTAGTGCCCACAAAGGCCTGCTGGCACGTCTCACACACACAGCCAGGTTCTCATCTGGCGTAAATCAGTTTAGCGCCACTGACGTCATCAAGAATCTGATCCAAAAAGTTTGGCCACACAAATGTTAAGTCTTGATTCAGGCTGGCTTAAAATGTGGCCCTAAATATTGAGGGGCACATCTAGCATTAAGCATATTTCTTCTTAGCATTCAAAACAGAATAAATTAGGTTTAAAAGGTTCATTTAGATGGTGAAGGAAGATCAGCCCATGCTGAGTAATGCTGCAAATGGCTCTAACGAACACAGCACAGCTGACAAACAAGGTACAGAGATGTCATGATTGTGCGAAAATAAAAAGATTCATTGACGCATTTGCTTTGTTCACGTTACTCCCTTGAGATATTTCCCTCTTAGGAACCACGCTGTAAGGTGAACATTGTCCTGGAGATAATGCCGTCTTTGGAACAATAAATTGCAACAAATACATTGAGATGATGAACAAAGGACATGCAGCAGCACCTCTGGAGTAGAACACTGTACTTGCTACCAGGATTGTCATGGTGGGGCAATAAAAACCATGGGAAATCACTTTCTGTCAAGGAGAAAGATCAGTTACTGTGTGTGCAAATTATCTGGAGTGTAACTGAGCTTAGTGTCTACCTCCTGTTTGTTTATCTTACCCGGAGCTTTTCTTCTGCCTTAGTGGACTGCTTACAGTCTGGATGCCATACAGTGGACCCTGGAATAAAATAATGCATTACTCAGAGTAAATCAGATGACTTCGGGTCACAGAGAGGAGAACATTAAAATATTTAGGACAGACCCACTCGTTGCATTGCAATGTGCTGGGAATAACCTACAAATTCCACCCCAGCATGTGAGAAATGCAACCGAATTAAAAACAAAGACTTCGCCCGCCTACAGTGGCATCTATCTGAGGGTCTCAAAGTACTTTTCACATGAGTGAATTAAACCTCATGCACAATCCTGTGCAGCAGGGTTAGGATCTGTTCGAATCAGATGTTGCAGCTGGAAGAGTCATGTTGCTATGGGTCAGGGAAGGAGGCTGGTTTTGTGGCTGGGTCACAGAGGTGAGAGAAGGAGAAGTGGGTCCTATGTCTAGCTTCCTATGCAGTTCCGACTAAGTCCCTTCATCTTTTCTCTCATTTGCAAAATGGAGGTAATAATGCTGATTGAAACGGGCATTGATTGGTGGAGTGTATGTGTGTGTGAGTGTGAGAGAGAGAAGCAGCAGAAACAGAGAGGAGCAAAGAAGCCTCAGACACAGATAGGGAGCCCTGGTGGCATGACCTTGATTAAAAAAAGAGAGAGCTTTTTGGTATAGTGCTGGCTGAAAAAGGCTTGGAACCGTGAGCAAAGAAACTATCTCCAGTTGTTTGATTCCTCCTGTATTCAGGGAAACGGGAATTCATAAACAAACAGGATTGTATCAGAGAAATACCTGACCATCACCAATTTCTCCTCCTAGTGGAAACAATCCACAACCCCCCCAAAATCAGCTAACTTCTTGAGTTAAAAAGGGGTAACAATACTTCATTACCCCCCCAGTGGTACTGTGAGGCTCAATTCATTAACACCTGTAAGTGTCTTGGATGGAAGGCACTATCTTCAGTAAGTGCAGAGTATTATAATCCTAGCATCACCTAATCCAGGGGTGGTCAACCTGTGGCTCCGGAGCTGCATGCGGCTCTTCTGAGGTTAATATGTGGCTCCTTACCTAGGCACTGATTCCAGGGCTGGAGCTATAGATGTTAACTTTCCAATGTGCTGGGGGTTGCTCACTGCTCAGCTCCCTGCTCTGCCCAAGCCCTGCCCTGACTCCACCCCTTCCCTGAGCCTTGCATGCCCTTGCTCCTCTTCCCTCCCCTCCATAGCCTTCTGCGCACGTGAAACAGCTGATTGCGGTGGGTGGGGGGGAGTACGCATTTCAGCATGAATATTATCTCACGTGCAGGCAGAGGAGATCCTTCCCAACAAAGGCCAAGTTAAAAAGTACAGGTCAGGGCAGCTCTGAGGGGAGCCTTTATTTCAAAAGGTCCCTTTCTTGTGCTGAAGCACAAACCGTCAGGAGTGATTCTAATTGCCAGCAGCACACAATGTAAACAGCATCAACAGGAGACTGGAAGGAACACGTGGACTCTGAATCACAGCATCAGATGTCTAGCTTGGAGTCTGAGCCAAGGAAGGAGAAGAAACTGCTTGTTCGGCAGGGGAAGCATTCGGTGAACAGGGGGAAGCAAAACAAAAGATGTCATGTGCCGAAACACCAGCCTCAGAGCCAGGGCTGTACAAACCCTGCAAAGGTCGGAAGGAAACCAGCCCTTGAAGGTTCATTTAAAGGCCTGATAAACAGGAATGTTCACGAGGTTCTAAAATGGGACTCAAGAGAGCCGGGTTTAGTTCCCAGCTCTGCCACAGACTCCCTGCGGGACCCTGGGGAAATTCACGTCCTCTCTCTGGGACTCAGTTCCCCTTCTGTAAAACAGGGCTAGCAAGACTTCCTTTCTCCCACCCTTTTTACACTGCAAACTCTCTGGGGCAAGGGCTGGGTCTGACTATGTGTGTTCGGCATGTAGCACAATGGGGCCTTGATCTCAGCTGGGGCCTCTAGATGTGAACATTCCTTGGGCAGAACTGGGGGGGGGGGAGCAGTTCCCCAGCTTCTGGGGGGAAGCAGAGTGGCATGGAGTTGAGCTGTGATTTTCAGAGAGGAGCTGGCTAACAACCTCAATATCGGTTCACAAACTCGATGAGAGGTTTGAAACACAGCAAACTTCAAACCCAAACTCAGATCAAGTGGGTATGAGGTTAGATGTCACTATTTTGCAGTCCCGTACTTGGAGCCAACCACGGCTTCTATGTTTTATCCACCCAAATGTGCTCATTTATTTTGAAACAGCTCAGAGCTATGTAAATCTTCCAAACCCATCCTTGTTCAGTTTAATTACTTTTCTATTGGAAACTCTGTACACTGTGGGTGTACACTGCTGTTAATCCCTCCATTATCATGTGTTTGTTTGCTCCCTTGGCAGACACCAAACAAAATGTTCAGCTGTCCAACTTTTTTTTCTGCATGCACCAGCACTACAACACAGAGCAAACTCTGAAATATACAAACTCGGGTTAAGAGAATAAGCCTGGAAAGCATGAAAGGCTCCATGAAAACCAACTACAGCAGGCATGCTCTAAACACTAAGTCTATACTACCCACCAGATCGGCGGGTAGTAATTGATCTATCGGGGATCGATTTATCACATCTTGTCTAGACGCGATAAATCGATCCGTGAATCAACGCCCATACTCTATCTCGGCAGGAGGAGTAAGCAGCGTCAACAGGGGAGCCGCGGCAGTTGACTCGCCGCCGTGAGGCTGGCCAGGTAAGTCGAACTAAGATACTTCGATTTCAGCTACACGAATAGCGTAGCTGAAGTGGCGTATCTTAGATCGATCCCCCTCCCCCGCCCGCAGTGTAGACCAGCCCTAAGCAATGTCTCACCTTGGCACCAATCCCCTGGGTGAGACAGAGAAATGTGTTACAGGGAAACATGTGGGAGAAAGAAAATTTTTGGTGCTATTCCTTATTTCCCCAGGCAAACCTACAGACTCCCATTATTATAGAAAGGTAATTTGAGGCTGGAAAACACAGCTGGGTTAGTTTGTTTCAATACATACTGTTCTTTTTGCAGGTTTCCTTTGTTTTCATTAGATGTAACATTCAAGTAGCCGTCAATAAACACACTGAATGAAATCCTGGCCCCAAAACTCACCGCGGGGCAAGGATTGCATTCGTGTTCTTACACAGAGAGCAATGGAGGAATGAGATGCAGACACAGACAATGCCCAGTGGAGATGGTAATTATGAAAAGAGGGAGCTTCCTGCTTTCACTCATTTTACAATACGCAATTGTTCCCTCTGCAGCAAAAGCTTGGGAAGCTACTACCGCTCCATTCGGTGCAGGGGGAACTGGTTCCCCTGGGGGAACCTATATTGATGGCTTCACCATATTCCTATGAACTGAAGCTAAGAGGGACTTTCACCATGGGAAAGACTTTCAGGTACACTGTACTTAGATCCAACAAACCAAATGCAGCCTGCAGCAAGCAGGTAAAATTCTTCCTGAAGAGCCTGATGATACAATCAGTGCAGTAAGTTGGTAAGAAAACAGCTGTAAGCAGCAAAGTAGTGTCACTTGCACTGATTTGCCATTAGGTGGAGGAAAAAAGAGTGTAACTTGCGTCCAAGGGGCAGGAAGGTAAAGGCAGGGACATAGCGTGAAAGAAATGAACAGATGAAGGAGCCAGACGCCTCTCCTGCGCCATCCCCCTGGGCTAAATTTCTCACCAAGATGTATGTGGGTACAGTTCTCATTGGCTTTAGTGTGCTCAGTAGTGTTGGTGGTCTGTGATATACAGGAGATCAGACTAGATGATCCAGTGGCCCCCTCTGCCCTTAAACTCTATGACTCTATTTTAGGAGTTGTATTTATACCAACGGCTAGACTGGGTCACCAAGGAATCCCCAATCAATGTATGCTTCCCCACTCACTGCATGCCAGACTGGTGCAAGTTACACCAGTTCAGCCCTTCCTACCATTGACATTGTGACGCTGGCAGACCAGGTGCCAGCTCTTGCCTAGGCTGTAGGCATCAGCTGAGCCCTGACAAATTCATAGCTGGAAACCAGACCAGCTCACCTGTACGTTAGTATTGTTCAAGACAGATACTAGACTTATCAGAATGGGATTAGTGTCTAAAGTCTATGGAATGTTTGTAAGTTGCTTCATGCGTTAATTTCACTTGCAATGTCTGCATCCCATGCTATAAGGTGATATGTACGTTTTGCTTTATAACTGTAAAAACGCTAGCTCTGAACCTGTGAAACCAGTCAGGAGGAACGGTCCACCACTCATCAAGACAGGTTATGAAAGCTAAATTGGCCATTGTGGAACATCGTGATACAAGGACTTGGTTAATGGCCCTCTCACACCGCTGAAGGTGCTACATGCAAGAAAGCCCATCCGTTGAATGCTGGAAGAAGGGGATAAAACAGGGACACAAGAAAAAATTCTCTCTCTTTGCTGGAGCTAGGAAACAGAAGCAGAGATCCCCAGGGTCAACCTGGGTTAGCCCTAAAAGACATTCAGCGCTGACCGATTACTATAAATCTGTCATCTTTTGGAACCACAGACTAACTCATATGTGTATATATGTTTGCCGGCTTTAGTCTGTAAATAACTCATTTCTTTTCTTAGTTAATAAATCCTTAGTTTACTATAGGAGTGGCTATAAGCGTTGTCTTTAGTGAGAGATCGGAGGAACAAATTGACTTGGGGTAAGTGACTGGTCTTTTGGGATTGAAAGCAACCTGAATCTTTCCTGATCTTTGGTGTCTGGCAACCAACTATCATTAAGTCTAGCCTGCTTGGGTAGCGAGATTGCCTGGAATGCCCAAGGGGACTGTCTGGAAGGCTTTTCACTGATTTCAACAGGCTTTGGATCAAGTTCCAAAAGAGAAGGAGACTATATGGATCAAAATAATTGCGAGGGAAAACAAGAAAAATGGTTGCTCAAAACCATTTCTCACTCATTCTGGTGTCCCACATATATTTGTTCACCGAGGATTATGTAAAACACCAAAGTTCAAGGGCTGACTAATAACATTTACCTGTGGCTATACATTTTAAAAGCACAATTTGGGGCAACCACAGTTTGGAGTGACTGCAGGGTAATTGTTAGGGCACCCTAATCTGAAAGGTTCACCAGAATGGTGACATCTATCCCTCAGAGAACATCAATGATGACGAGGCAGCTGTAATCCCAGTTACCTAAGATCTCAGTGGATGTCTTCGAATGACTGAGAGGGGAAAAATGAAAATGGACATCTCCTGACTGGCAAGTGAGTGTGCTACCAGACGTCAACAGAGCTGCTAGAGGATCGCTGATGATATGCTACTTCCTGGATGGCTGTCTGAGCCTAAACCTGTTTCTGGCACAGCTGGGGAATGAAGGCATCCTTACCTTGCAGGTACATTTCTTCTCCTTCCGTGAACATTTGGTTGCATCTGCTGCATCGTGCACAGCTCGGATGATAATGCTTGTCACCTGCCTAAGAAAAATAAACAGGGCGATAAGGAATCGATAAGGAAGTGATACACCATCTTATTATTATTCATTGATAGGCCCCTGCCTATCTCCCTTTTGTTGCTTTTTAATGTATATGATGCTGCTCTGAAGTTGTCACAGAACAGACACTGCTTGGCAGCAGCATGAGCTTTCCCCACACTGTCCAAACAAAGGGGGTCATTCAAATATGTAGATCCCACCTGAATGGTTCAGTCTCAATGGCCAATTAATTCCTTGGCACTCCTTTCTGTCACTGTCAACCACGGTGCTAATTTAATGAGGGATTTGTAGGTGGACTCCTGGGACCATCAATTTATTTCACACAGGTCACCTGACTTCAGAGAGTAACCTCAATTCATGGGCTAGCACCAGCAGCCTGACCTGAAGTTGAACAAGTGACCTAAGGTGCTAAATACTCAAAATCCTATTACCAAATCCAAATCCCCTGAGTCATTCGGTCTCTTAAATACACTGATACTCATAATAAATTACTCTGATCAAAATTTGGTGCTAGTCTAAGGACTGGAAAACAAAAAGCACAGATATTAAAAGCGATTTCATCTCACCAGAGACCAGAGTTATCAGTGCATTAACTCTTTCACATCAGAAAGTGAACATACTGATACAGGGCCCACATCAGATTACTAAGGAATGAGGCTAGCGCTTGCAGTGCTATGAACTAAGCAACCCTATATGTCATAGATGCCACCCGAACGACAATCATTGCAGGTGTCATCTTGCTTGAAGCATCTGTACAACTGGACACTGGAATGATACCATAAGCAGCCATCAAACCATATTACAATTGCACCATATGATATGTTATAAATGTCTGAAAAAAACAACAATTGCCAGCAATAGGAAAAGCCAGGTTCAGTTTATATCCTCCATCAACCTAACCTGCAAAGGAGCTTAGAAACGGGAGGAGTAAAAACTTTACTAGGAACTTCCTGGGCAAGCAAGGAGTCTCTCCAGTTCCTGTCTTGCCTCTTAGGCCTTATCTACACTTACCAGGGTTTGACGTGTGGTGATTGATGAATCGGCGGTCGATTTAGCGGGTCTAGTGAAGACCTGCTAAATCGACCGCAGATCGTTCTATCGACTCCTCTACTCTACCTGAAAGAGAAACGCAAGGGGAGTCGACAGGAGAGCCTCTCCAGTTGACATTGCGTAATGTGGATCCCGTGGTAAGATCTCAGTACGTCGACTTCAGCTATGTTATTCAGCTGTATTCAGTAGCTGACGTCGCATAACTTAGTTCGATCTCCCCCTGTATTGTAGGCAAGGCCTTAGAAAGACAGACACACACATACACCCTACACTTGGTCAGATCCTCAGATGGTGTAAATCAATGTAGCTTCAATATAGCTATGCTGATTTACAGAAGCTGCAGGTCTGGCCCAATTATTTCACTTCTTCTTTGTTTTATATAAAATAATGAAAGAAAATAAACCAGAAAAACTATTTAAAACATACTGTCTCCAGCCATAAAATATCAAATTCCACAACAAATTCCCAATCCCCAAAATGCTGCTATTCAGCCACCCCAGCTAAGTATCTTTACTGCACATTTTATCACCGTCATGGTGACTATATTTAGACTAGAGATACCAATCACTAAATCATATAAGGCTTGACAAATTTACTGGACACCTTATCAGCCAAATGACCAATCCCACGGGGCAGAGTGAAAAATACTTGTGTTATCATGCCAACTGAAATGTAAAGGAGCAAAACAGTTGCTTGTTCTGTAGTTTATTTACTTGTCACATATTGTTAATCAACTTCTTAGTGAACAGATATTTTAAAAATTGAACTTGCTACTAATTAGATCTTTGATTAATTTCAACTGGGGCCAACTAATAACATATGTACTAAAAATGTCTGTTTAGTGATAGAGCTGGTTGAATACTACCCCCCAAAAAGTACTGGTCAAATAAATTATGAGTTGAATACTGGTGAAATAAATGGAATAATATATTTCTCAAGTACTATTCAACCAGATCTACCTTCCTGAGGGCTCGTCTACATGCAGTTACCCCAGTTTTTAATTTCTACTAACAGAAGAGAAGGGAGGATACACACCAGAGCCAAAGCCCACTGAAGTCAATGGGAGTCCTTCTATTACCTTCAGTGGGTATTGTATCAGGCCAATAACTCAACCAAGAATTGTTTTTAGAAAAGGAAAAGAACCACCATCAACCATCCTATTTATTATACGCACCTCCTGCTATTTTTGTAACATCCATCTGTTTGTTTACCTCATCCACCTGTTACGTCTCATCTTTTTAAAAACATAAGCTCATTGGAGCGGGGACTATCATTTTCTATCTATCTGCACAGCACCTACCACAATGGATCTAGGGCCTGGTTGGCCTCAGATGATACTATAATATACATGTTTATTAATAATAAATAAATAAATAATGATGATGTGCACATCTTATGTGCCATATGATCTCTTTTCCTTCCTTTCACCTTCTCTTTTTGTGATCCTCCACCGTTGTGCCATATGAAACTTAAGTTTGTACGATTTTCAGGGGCATGTCTTGTTTGTGAGTCATCTAGCTCACTTCTGGCCCCTTGAGAAGGACCAATCAGTCAACTGTGATGAGTAAGAGCTGGTCAGAAAACAATTTTGGCAACAATTTTTTAAAACCTTTTTCTGATTTTTGTTTTAATTCAAATGTCAGTTTCATCAAAAATTCTAACAACAACAGTGCCTCTTTTCCTGAGTTGTCCTCAGTTCTGTTACCTCTCTCTCTCTACCCAATTGGATATCTCCCTATTTCTTTCCCTACATTGCATCTTCCACTTCCTCTGTCATATTCCCTTTCCCCCCGTATTTTCCTTGTTCCTTCCAAAATCTATCACACATAATACTCTACTTTCCTTTCTCATCCCAGCAATCTCTCACTCTCTCCCCTCCCCCGCAGCTCACCCCTTTTCACTCACCCACACATAGGTCATGGCAATTTCACTAAAAATCTAAAAGCAAGAGGACTAAAATTGCAAGCCACAGAGAGGTGGTGGGAAAGATACGTACATCCTTTTACATAGATTTTTGGGGAATGAGGGGCATGGTAAGAGCTGGTATTGTGGGTACTACTGATTTGGGTATTGCAGAATGCCATAGATTTGGGCACTGCTGGTTGGTTGTCAACTGGTTGGAGTTGCTTTTTTTGTTGTCTTTTTGAATATTATGTCCCAAGCACCTACCTAGCCGAGAATAAGCACTCCTTTCCCCGGTATTACAGATCAAAGAAATGAAATCAGATTAGTGAGAACATATGCTCCCCAGAGGAAGACCCTGGCACAGCTATTCCTATGATTTGCAGGCTGAGGACATTTCAAAAGTTCTGTATGGAAGATTCCTGTACCTCTTTCCTCCCTCTCTTTACCCACCTGTTCTCTACTCTTCCTTTATCTTATTTATACCATGTTGTCCATGGATTCCCACCAGATCCTCTCTCCCCTCTGTGATGCTGTATGGAATATCGGAGACACTTGGTGATATTGTTTATACCAATATTATAAAATTGCAAGGAATCTGACCAGATATGCCGTGTGAGGTATCTGCAAAAGTGTTATAATTTGCCAAGTATGATCATCTTGTTTATATGTTTGTATCACTTTTGTATTATAAGTTATAGATACATAGGGTATATCTGTATTTCCAAACTTGTGCTGTATCTCTGGGTGTCACCCCCAGACAAAATGGCATTAGCACTGAACCTATTCGATGGCTGAACAATGGACATCAACTGTACAATGAACCCATTGAAAGGGTCAGGGGATACACCCTATGACTCAGGAGGGCATGCAGGGGCATGCCTATGGGCAGAACTCTAAGGCTCCAGGCCCTGTGCTGGGCAGCTTGTGTTTGGAACAAAGGAAGTACAAGCTGCATGGCAAAAGACTATAAATGGCAGCTGCATCCTCCCCAATCCCCATTTTGTCTTCAATCCTGCTTCTTACTTCTGGAGGAACGTTGCTACAAACTGAAGCTCTGAACAAAAGAACTGAATGACCCATCCAAACTGTGGATGTGTTCCAGAGGGACTTGCAAGCCAGAAAACTCACCAATACTGCTAAGAATCTGTTACATGGACTTTGAATCTTTGTATGCATTTGATTGCTTTACCATTTAACAACTCTCTTCTTGTTCTTTCTTTACAATCAACCTTTAGTTTTAGTCACGAAAGGATTGGCTGGCAGTGTGGTATTTGGGGTAAGATCCAAGTCTATACTGACCTGGTAATGGGGCTGACCCTTTGGGGTCAGAAGAACATTTTGTATATATAAACAGAGTTTTTTAAATAGCTTCTCACTGTACTGGACCTACGTGCTGATTGGGAGCCAGAGCACTGGAATGCAATAAAGGAGGCTGTGTGATTTCTTTTTTGCTTCTTGATAACCAGTGTGGGGGATCAGAAGCACAGTCTGTGACTGGTTGGGGAGTTTAACTTCAGTGTTACCCACCAGTCTTGGGAGTATCTGCTCTCCCTTTTGCAGCCTGCCTGAGACCTTGGCATTTCCAGTGAGGGCTGTCCGAGGCACACCCCTCATGCCAAAGTGTCACATTTCAAAACTCACCTCTGCTGCCCCAGTGCCTCTCCCCTAACGGAGGTAACAGCACAGTGTGTGTACTCTTTGCATTTAGAATCAGTGTAGGGGAACAGTCCAGGATTCCTTCCCTTCCCTGGGGCAGAGGGGGGGGATGTTGGCTGGGCAGACATTTAACAGGAATGTCTCTTGCTAAGCACGGTATGAAACGTGAGCTACAATAAATGCCTCACAAACTTTCACCAGGGACTTTGCCTAACAACTAATCGACACAATGTAAGCACCGAAAGCCAAACATTAATGCAGCAAAGCATGTGAACAACAAAAACAGGGTTTTCCACTCTACAGCTTTGGTCTCCTTTTACAGCTTTACTCCCCCCCAGTAGCACTGGGCAGTTGTTTATTTGTTGATCTGAG